CTTCCTGTTGGCCATTACAATCCAGTGTCCATCAAAACCAAACCACTTAAGAGGAGTGCTTGCATCTGTTGTCACCTTCTCACTTTGCCCAAAGCCCGTTTCCAAGTTCAGACCACATCCTCCATTTGCTGTTAGTTGAGCACTCACAGCCTTCTCACCTATTGTAAGATGGCACAATGACTGTACCAGATACACAACCAACATCTTCCAGAATATACTTCCCATCTGTTTCACAAGGGAAGCCTCAGGAAAATGGTCTAAGACAATCTGGGGACTGGGACCCAGACTATAGCACCAAAGACTGTATGAGCCATAGCCTGGGTAAGAACTTACCTCTATTTTAGTTCTGTGCAAAATGGGAACCCAAGCAGCTCTCCTCGACACAAAAGCAAAGACTGCCTGAATGCTAACTCACTTGACCAGAACTCCCAACACCAGCTTCTGAGCTGATGGCTTGGGCATGTTTGCTGTACAAGGTGAGAGTAGCATTGCTCTTTACCTAGAGTCCCCTGACTGGTCTTAATAATGAACGCCTAGAAGAACTTTGGCTTCGTGACTACAAGATTAAAAACGCTGCATTAGTCCTCATACACTTCATGTTTCAGGTGAAAAGCTTAAATGCTCCTGAATAGCAGAAACAAGCAGGAAGGAGAGATTCAAGCTCATCAATCTCCAGCCCATGCCAATGGACTCGATAAAGGGAGTTTCAGTATGGATCATCTCCCCAGTCACCTGCAGACCCTACAAAGAGGGTCTTCAGTAATTGTTTTGGAGCCTTACATTATCTTAGTAACAGCAGCTGGAGTTTCTGGCACCAAGGTGATCCAAGGTGGAAGTGATTAGGATATCTGGAAAACCTATCCACATTCTTGGATGTGTGTGGTTTGTCCTGCTGGCTTGTTTTCTCAGCTGTACTGCCCAACAGCCACAGTGAGAGTTGGTCTTCTAGAACTTCCACCTCTCCTCAGTTAAGAGAAGACAACTGATGAAGTAAACAATCCAACAGAAATGGGAACAAATGTCCACCCTCTTGTGAGGGCACGACTGAAGGGGCAGATATTTTTCACAGCCACTAAAAAGCTTAGAGCTTAGTAACCTTTTGCAAGTACTTTAGGAACGTTTCCAAGCCTGACTTAGGCAGACTGTCACTTATTAACACCGTTCAGGATTATTAAATGAAAAAGCTGTACCACATTCATAATTTAGAATAAAAGCAGAGCTGAGAAAGAAAGAATAACTAAAAAGACTAATTGCTGCAGTTTATTTTGGAGGTGACAGCAAGGCAAACAAGAGTATTTGTTTCAATGAACTTTATTTAACTCCGTATTATACAAGTGGGATCTGAATCCCCAAACTTCCCATCCGACATAATGGAGAAGCACCACTGCACAATAAGGAAGGCAGAATTTTGGAGCTGGAAGACAGGCTAGACCAAGCCGTTTCCCCCCATGTGGTCAGAAATTCTTCCTTCTTCACACAATGTGATTCCCAGACGCGCAGGTTTTACCCCAGGAATAAGAGAGACAAAGCTAGTTCTAAACACTCTCTCTTCCTCCTCCTCTCCCCAACAAAAGAGGCTGCTCAATGCCAGTAGTGGAATGGTTAAAGATAGGGAGTACATTAGGTTTTCAGTCTCGCAAACAGCTCACTAGATTAAGAAGTGGCCTGGTTACTCCCTCTCTCCTGAAAAAAATCCAGGAAAATCAAAGACCTAAAATGCTGAAGACTTACCTCCTTTCCTTCCCCCATCCCATAGCCTTGTTCTCTAAGCAGAGAGTAGGCAATGAACTCTGAGGAGGCTGAAGGAAAGCCAAGGAAAATCAGGGGCTACCTGAATCCCTGGGAATCTGGTGGCTACCCTGGTGCCCTCATTCATTTCCCTTGAGGTTCAGAGACCTGTTTGGAACAGTACACAGAGAGGGCCTCCCTTAGGGACCAGGAAGCAACCAGGGATACAGAACACAGGAGCCACCGTGAGGGTACACACCATTCCAGGGAGGGCCCAAACCACAAACAGGGCAAGACTCCCCCCAGCCAAGGCCTCAAGGGCTGGGGGAGCTGGGACGAGGCCCTGACAGGGGGAAGAAAGCTCCTGCAGCAGGACTGAGGGCTGATGGGATTTTACTTCTTCTTCCTCTCCTGGGAACAGCGAGGGCAGAACCTGGTAGAAAGGGAAGTAAAAGCCTTTAGGCCTTTAGGGCATGACATGAACCTTGAATGTATAGTCCCAAAAGACCTTTTCCAAGGTCCCTGACAAAGCCTCTCCCTTCTGCCACCCAGGACCTCCCCTTTCCAAAGACCAATGTGCTCTCCAGGATGCTTGTTCACTCACCATTTTCCTCTTGGTTTTGTTGTCAGACCCACACAGGCAAAATGAAACCATTCAATGGAACACTGTTGGGATAGAGAGCAGACAGTTAAAGAGACATTTTCTTCTGAAACCATTGCTTCTGGGCTACCAGAATTTCCCAACATTTGATCACAGACTCCTAAATCCCTAGCAGTGACCGGGGAATGAAGACTTAAACCCAACCTACACATTGTTAGCAAGGAGAAGGCCCCCTTTCCCTTTCTAAGTGTGGGGGCAAGAAAGCAACCTGTCATTTCAAGGAAAACTTGAAGTGGCACTTAACAAGTCCTGGTAAACCACCCCTCCACACCACCTGAGGTAAGCCTCCTTCTTGTCACTGCTTGCTGTATCAGGCCCTGCCCAAGCAGGACAAGACTATCTCTGCAAGACCCTCTCCATTTCCTTCTCCCCCATTTACACCAAGGGCAGGCTCTTACATCTGGGTTGTCGCAGCCAATCATCTCCCCATAGGAGACCTGGTGGCAGAGGCAGTAAGTAGGCTCATTGGGGTCAACCGGCATATCCAATACATCCGAAGGGTGCACGTTTCCAAAGGTGACTGAAGGCATCCCATACTCTGTGCTACTGTAAGACAGGAATAAAGTAGGTCAGTGAAATAACTGGCTTTGAGTCCCTTCATGTCTCCCAAGACAATGCCCTTGTTTGCCAGAGACAGCACATACACCCAGCTCCAGTGAAGTGACTTGCTTTCCCCTTCATGCCACACTCCCCTGAAAGAATTAAAAGGTCTCCTTCACCTTGCTTCCCAAGAAGGGACAGGGGACACACTGTCTAGTAGGGGTGTGGACCAGATCCTTTACAGGGAGGTTGGCTAGGCCTCGCTAGGCCTCCTTGGTCTGATTTGTAGTGCTGCTCCTCATTCCCACAAATCTCTAAAACACTTACGTGCGGACAAGCTTCAGTTTCTTTTGGGCAGTTTTTGGTGCTTCCTCATCAGAATTCTTCCCTTTAGAGCGAGCACGGGCAGCTTTCTTCTCTTTTTGGGCTCGGCCCTCTAGTAAGAAGAGACAAAGGTGGTGCATCTGCCACCCTACCAAAATAGACACCTGATAGTAACAACCTCTCCATCACTAAAATACACTCCCAGAGCGTATACTGGCTTTGGGCCATGCACCCCATCTTAATTTTATCTAGCAGCCTTGAATATGCTCACACAAGAAGAGCCCAGGTCACCATCTTTTTACCTGTCCTTCAGATTCCAGCGTAACAGTCTTTGATCTGTACCACTCCAGTGCCTGCCTTCATCCCCACCACTTCCATAGTCACTTGGCTGCCTCCTGTATCAATCTGCAGCCCAGTGGTGGTACTCACTCTTCTTGCCCTTGCTGGAAGAACTGTCATAGTCACTCGACTCTATCTGCTTCTCCTTCAGGTCTGCTTCAAAGCGAGCGAGGTCTGTGTCCAGCCGCCGGATGTGCTTATCAACCTGCAAAGATGATAGTGACCATGAGTTACCACAGAACACAGCCCAAGAGGGCAAACAGGAGAGGGCACGGGGCTTGCAGTAAAGAGCTGAGAAGCAAGAGTGTGTAGGGCCTAAAAAGAGATCAGGGCCTTCTAAGACTGGGGTCTTTAGCACAGCCTTTCACACAGTAAGCATTAGACACTTCCCTCCATACCATCTCATAGGTCTGCATAGCCAGCTGAACCTTGTCGTCCCCAAACTCCTTGCATTTCCCATAGGCCTCCTGGATTTGCTTGAGAAGCCCCAGTTTTTCCTCTGAAGACAAAGTCCGTGCATTGCTGATATACTCTGTGGCCAACTTATCGATCTCCGACTTGAGGTCTGAAACAAGTTCACCATTAAATACATAAATACACACATATACCAACACACTACAGTGCCCTCCATTAAGAGAGGCTGAAGGATCAGAGCAGCTGTAGGCTTCATCCCCTGCCCTGAGATCTCCATTGATCAAGGCAAAGGAAGGAAAAGCTGGTCAAGCTGCATACTTCCTGTCTCACCAGCAAAACCATCTCTAAGCCTCACCTTCTGTCCTCTGATCCAGGTCTCGCATGAGCTGGAAGTTTCTCTGCAATTCAAATGGCAGGTTCTCAATACCTGCAGGGAAAGGAGGACACAGGAAGTCAGGTTCCAGTCCATGATGCCAAAGCAGGAACAAAGCTAACTAATATAACAACACATACACTACTCCGGTGATTCCCAACACCCTTTCCTGGTGCACACTGGTGTGCTTCCCTTTGTTGTCAACTCTAAAGGAAACAGACTGTAAGAACATGATATATTTAATCCAGGAGCATAGTTCTATAATAATTTTTAGATAATGGAAAACTGCTGTTATGCATAAAGGCCTACATTAGGAAAGCAGAAAACCCAGAATTTGTAAAGTCAGTCATTCTAATATAGAATCATAGAATCCCAGACTGGTTTGGGTTGGAAGGGACCTTAAAGCTCATCCAGTTCCAACCCCCTGCCATGGTCAGGGACACCTCACAACAGAGCAGGTTGCTCCAAGCCCCTGTGTCCAACCTGGCCTTGAACACTGCCAGGGATGGGGCAGCCACAGCTTCTCTGGGCACCCTGTGCCAGCACCTCAGCACCCTCACAGGGAAGATCTTCTGCCTAAGAGCTCATCTCAATCTCCCCTCTGGCAGGTTAAAGCCATTCCCCTTGTCCTGTCCCTACAGGCCCTTGTCCAAAGTCCTTCTCCAGGTTTCTTGTAGCCCCTTTAGGCACTGGAGCTGCTCTAAGGTCTCCCCTTAAGGAGCCTTTTTTTCTCTCCAGGCTGAACCAGCCCAACGTATCCGAGAACTCCGTTCAGTAATGAAAAAATAATACAGCAGCTGGTAAATAATGCCATTTAGTTATTCCTATACAGGGATGTACAAATTGAAGTTGACTGAATGCTAATTCACTGAAAAGTTAGTCCATTTTAGTGCATCCATTTTACACATAGGGGACAGGAGACACTTTGTACAGAGCCAAAGAACAAGTCTGAGACAGGACAGGGAGTGGTGAACAGCAGTCTTAACTCTCTGTCACACGTTCCTTGTTTTGCTTTTTGCGCTGTAATCTCAGTGTGGTCTGTCCAACATCTGGTGGGATACTATACATTGTCAATAATAAATGTTTGTAGGGCTCTGAACGAGCAATGTGAAGTTGATAGTCAGTTAATTTTCAATGTACTATGCTACTCACGCCCTAGGCATCACCAGATGCTCAACTGACAAAGCTGACAAAAACAATTCTCATTTTTCCATGCCTGTCTAATTAAAGCAAGATCTAGTGTCACTGCATTGACCTCAAGACCAAGCTTGATTATTGTCACCTTTATACCTAATTAAGAAAAACCCCAAAACCAGAAAGGTTGGGGAAAAGGCTCTTCAGAAACATAACATAAGCATGTCTGCTTCCTGAACCCACTCTCCAACACACAGGGAGTGTAAACAACAGTGTCTCTACCCAGGACCAAAACCATCCAATACATCATTCCTGGAAGCAGACTCTACTGTCACTGCCACGTGTTTCTACAGCAGAGGCCCTTCCCTGAAAAGCAATCGGCCAGCAGGGAAGGTCTGGATGCAAGAGGCAGGTTGTAACAAGTACTACACGTGGCCATGAGGTAAAAAGAACTGTGGGCCTCACTCTGCTCACAAGCTGGTCCTTTAACTTCTTTTTTGCACAAATGGAACATAAGAAGTTACACACAGAATCCTTATAAGTAATGAAGCTATTGCTTCAACAGAGTTTTGTTGCCATTTCTAATGCAAAGATCTTAGCAATGCTCAGATAGCAGGTGTCCTCAAGCACACAGCACATACACATTGGCCCCTGCACTGAATGACAGTTAATAGAGCAAAATCAAACTCTCAAAAATAAGGCAGTGGCAAAGCGAAGGCTGTGCATCCCTAAATGTGATACTTCCACGTTTGTCCAGCATGAGGGACTTCACACAAGGTGCAAGCAGCCGACTACCAGATCACATCCCTACGGCTCCAAAACACATCTCGGAAGACAACAGGGACACAGTGCTGAAGATTATCATTGCTTACAAAGGGAATTTATGGCAGTGATGAAATCCAGTTTGGGAATCTCAAGACCATTGATTTTTCCTTCCTGCGATCCCCAGTCTTGTTAATTCCAAACCTCTCAGTGTATACAGCAAATGAAACATGGATCAGACTGCAGCGTGCTACTTTCCATTCCTCTCCAAAGCACTCCCTGCAGAAGACGAGAGGTATCCTCTAGAGGAAAACAGTTTCTGCACTTGCACTGTACACCATATGTCAAAGTTACACTGAGTTTATCAATCCTGGAAGATCACAACTTCTAAATTCTTGACTCTGTAGTTCTAGAGAAGGATGAATGTAATTTCTTTTTCTCTTCTAAAAAGGAAAATCAGTAAAAGCACAAATTCTACTGGGTGTAGTCAGTTTTCCCTCAGCAGGGCTAGAAACCTTTAGACAGTGAGCACTGAGCTAGCACAAGAAACAGTAGGATGCTGTTGTCTGAGCAGAACCACCCTACCTAAGGTTATGGCCATGTTTCACAGTGAACTTTTAAAGCAGAAACATGAGCAGGAGTTTGCTTCTGTGCCAGAACCTGAAAGGGACCGGGGGTTGGATGATCTTAAGGTCCTTTCCAACCCTAACCATTCTATGATTCTATGCTATATTTTCTCCAGCTGTTAGTGTAAAAATCTGCCACCAGCACATACGCCCTCATCTGGGAAGCCTCAGTCGTCCCTTTGCCTCTCTGTGCCTGGTCTCATCTTTTCAGCCTGTGTCATCTATCCTTCAGAGCACGTGCCACCTATCCCAGTGCCTCCAACCCCTCAGCCAGGCCAATGGCCACCCTGCCTGGTTGCTTGCCTCCCCACACACAGAGCCCGCTGCTCCCAGCGGCTCTCGGCAATGCCAGAAAGGCTTCACCCAGCTGAGGCTCTGGCCTAGCAGACACCCAGCACAGACACAGTCAAACGTGTATAAGCACTGATCTTACAGAGGCTCATTAGCTGGGCAAGGTTTCCACAGGGACTGATGAGACAAACCCCTATCATTTGAATTCCTTCTCTGCTAAACCCAGCAAAACGATTTCCTAAAACTGCAGCAAAATGTTCCACCTGCAAATCTATTATTGGACCAATGTTCTGTAATTGCTTCATCAGTAAACTGGGAGAAAATGAAACAAGTGACAGTACAGTGACTTTACAATCAGAACTGGTATAAAGACACTTTATCTATTCAACTGAAAGAGGGAGGAAGCCGAGTGCACCACTACAAATTATGATCCAGAGAGTCTGGCAAGAATAAAAAGCACAGCAAGATAAAGCTCCAGCTAAGCAAGTTTTAATTGAGCAACGAACTATCTGTATGGCATAGAGTTTTGTTTAACTATGGGAAAGTTTTCTACTATCTGCAGCTTACCTCAAAAGCTCTTGCATACCCTTACACAGAAGTGATGCTCTGCATCACAGAGTTTTATTACAGTGGTCAGAACACTTGCTGGAATTGCTTGGCTTGTGCTGTGCTGGCTATTGGACATCACTACCCTCACAGTCCCATTAAAAAAAAAAATCAAACCAAAAAGTTAAGTTTCCACTTCCTCATTCCTACCAATGCAACACTTTCCCTCAGTCTTCCTCAAAACATTCCTGTTACTTATGTCATTTTGCTTCCTCCTCCTCTTCTTTTACAATTCATGTGCTCTTCTTATTGTAAGATGCACTGGAACTTCTAGTGACTAAATACTATCTATCATAAAATACCCAAATAATTCTCACATTCTGAAATGGATCACAGTAGAGGAAAACCACCCTCGGGGCCTCCTTGATCACTAGAGAAGGCACTAGATTGTGCCAGACAGGCAACAATCCCACAGAAAATCAAAGCAAAGCGAGGGCCTCAACACAGACTGGCAGCAGGAGAGGAAGAGGAGGATGGTGAAGATGTACAGTGAAGAAAGTGGCCAGCAGCTTGGCCCAAAGCGTGGGCTGGCATCAATGCAACTGTGTCTATGTGCACAGGTCCACACAGCCACGTGCAGCCCCACTGCACCCCACTCATTCCCCCCACAGCACGATTAATCTGAATATCATCAGCGCAGGTCTCTCTCACTGAGGTTCTTCCCACTTCCTCCTTTTCTTACCCTGTTTTAATTTGACACAACCTAAAGTCTACCTACCTACCTTCATCTTTCCTTTCCTTAATTCTTAACCCTTCACTACCCCCTTTCTTCTTTCATCTATTTTATTCTTTTCTTTCCTTATCATTCCTTCCCTCATTCATTCCTCTGCAGGCATCCATAACCATGCTGCCTTATCCCTTAAGAACCACACACTCACACTCTCACTCTCCAAAAGCCAGAATCTATCACCACCCTCCTTCCCCTCCAATTACTATCATTTTATTTATTTCTTTATAGAACCACATGGGCGGCGTCAAGTGTAGGCAACTGATACTTAAACTTCAGTTCCTTAACTCAGATGTCAACTCTGACACACACAGCACAGAAAGCAAACCTACCCAACCTGATAACTTCCACCGTGCTTCAGCCCTCCACAGCACGTCTGTTAACTGCCAGACAGCAGGTTTGTACTGTGACAATGTCCAAATTCCTAAAAAGAGATCCATTGCACCAAGAACTATCCAAACACACAGTGCCTTTCACAAGACATCTGTTCACCAGCCATGTTCAGATGCATGTTTATTAAGAAATGTGAAAATACATTTTGAAACATAGCCGTGGTTGCTGTATTCAACAGTATGGATTTCAGCAAACACTTTAAACACCCATTGCTGAAGGCAATTAAAAAAGATCCTGCTGGTGCCAGGGACTGCCACAATGAGAGGGTATGTTCTTCGCCCCCTGAGATGGGGAATTGCCTGGGATCTTGCGCTGGAAGCACACAGGACTTTTTGGTATTCCATCATTCTCATAATTTTGTAGCAGTTGAAGTATGCTGCAGGACAAATGGATTACAGCAACCTTCAGGAGCTTCCTTGTTTCCCCATTAGAGGGAAGGATGTCTTTTATACTCCTCTATTCCTCGTTTTAGAGGCTATAACCCTTTTAAACTGCTGCTTCTACTCAGT